ATCGACTTAGTCCGTACCGAACGGATTGAGTTGGGGCCGTCGTGTTCGGCGCCGGGTCACAACTTTCTTTCAACACGCGACCGTAGCAAGCAGCGGCGACCGCCCATCGAGTAGCTCGCCGTGGCAATTCAACATTTGCCGCCGTGCGTCAGACGATGAGATCAACTATACGCAACAAGAAGCGAATCGCGGCTCTACGAGCGAATCAGCGCAGATTCGAAAACCGGTAGGAGGAGCGGCAAGCGACCGAACAAACGTGTCAGTAACCGCAAGACGGCAGCAGGCTTAACCGGCGCTCGCCGACGGACACGTCGAGTAGGAAACGAAAAATGAGAGAAAAAAAGCTCCAAATAACACGGGCAATAGTAAGCAGAAGTGGATGAACCTAACAGGATCGACAGCAGCAACAACAAACGAAGAAAGACGCACGCTTGTGAAGATATATTCTATTTTATTATTACGATTAACGACATGAGAACACCAAGCGGCAGCTGCGTTAACGCCGGTGTTCCGTCTTTGAAGACTATCAACGGCCAATGCTGCTACATCCGAGGCGCAGCTCAAAGGCCCGTCGCCGCCGCCGCCGCCGCCGCCGCCGCCGTCATCGCACTCGTTGGTCAAACTAACATCAACAACAGCTAAGAACTACTACAAATATCACTGCAGCCACTATTGAAGTGGCAACAGCCGGTCGTCACCGCAGACGGCGACCCGCTCGCGGCGGCGGCCGCTGCTGGTGCCAACCTAACAGGAAAGAAATGACGATAAAAGAGGACGAGCACGCTAAACAAATCGGACATTCGCCAGCAAATAGTTGTACCGACGAACCCAGCCACGGGATGGGCAAAGGGCCCCATTTCGCTGAAGCGAACGATGATGAGGTGTCTATGGTGCGTACTGAGCACATGTAGCGTTTAGGTGTCTGGGTGCATATGGATCTGGGCGAATATGATCTATGTATCTTGTTATGCAGATCCGCAGGGCTTAACAAAAGCGGACGAGGCGAGAAAGCGAAGCCGATTCCAGTCGCAGGACGCGGCCATCCTAAACGGCAAAATTCACTATTACGTCTACCTCTGCGTTAAACGCCCCCAGTAACAGAAGCGACAACAAACACCTCAACTACAGAAGAAACATGAATAATCCAATAAATGCAAAAAGGTGAACGAGACTTGTACTGTGGCATTTGAGGCTCGTTTGAAGTTATTTCTCGCTTAAAATCTGGAGAGAGAGAGAGAGAGACAGAAAAGTCAAGGGTTCTGCGGTGAATATGGAAAGTCCAGAAGAACTTAGGGGCGTGAAGTGGTCATCACAGAGCTGGCAATGCTAGAAGGCTAACATAATGTCCCGTAGCGGATCTATGGGGGCAGTTTGCATCGGCATGTAACTAGCATCGGAGGGGCTCGGCCTAGTCGCAAACCCACAGGCCGACCGCGCGTATTAGAGCAAACTACAAAATGGCTGCAGTACAGCTTTTCAGATAACAGGAACGAAACGTAAATATTCGGATATTATATTGTTTGTGAGCAGACATTCTTGAATCAACATGCTTAACTGTGATATTGTGCCGTTGCACGTTGAGTTCAAAGACTAAATCAATTTTCAAGTAGTTCTTTCGGACAGCTGGCCTCTGGTACGGAATACAATGGGTTGAATGACCGGTTTTAGACCTAACCTCCAAATGTCCTTAAGTAATACCTACCGTAGTCTGGCAGTCCATAGTTAAGTTCGATAATTGTGTTCCCTTCTAAATTAAACACAACTGTAGAACTGCTTTCAATTGCTAAAATGTTAACTCGTTCTAAATAAGAGATTAGAATGAATTAATCATTCAGATTAGCGAAATTAATTAGTAAATAAACTAATTAAATGAAAGTATATCAGTAAATTAACTGGTATGTTCAGGTGTAGTTCGCGACAAAAGTAAGGGCCAAGGTTTCGCATTCAACCTAGCACCAACTTTGCTTGATATAGGATCGATTATCGAGCAGCTGACTGGGGGATCTTGGAGCCATCTTGAATCCAAACTCTGGCGCTGATTTTGATCGATCCCTTCGGATATTTTTATAAATTCATTCTCAGTTGAAATCTTAATCAAATGTTTCAGTTGACGATGGAACGTTTACCTCTAAACGGTGATTAGGTCCTATTTCCTGTCCTTCAGTCTCCACTACCTCTCTCAAATACTACTACTCTGTCAAACTGTATTATTAATTTTATTTTAATGAACTGTTAAGTGTCCGTGATTTTTCTCGCTCCATTCGCGCTGGATCTCTGTTAAAAGGTTCGGCTTCGTAGGTATTTGTACAACTATTAAATCTGTTGACCTTATATGAAGAGGCTCAATACAATGGTGATCTATGAACCTGCTGAGCGTAGGTAATTTACGCTTATTCGTTTTTTGGGGGTTCAGGCGCCCGTTGACCAAGACAACAGCGCTCGTGCTCCTATTTACAGAACGACATACGTTTAAGACTACAATGGCACATGGGCGTCCTGCCTTCTTTAGGATCACATTGGGAGATAACGTAAAGTTTCAGGATAGTATAAACAGCCAATTCGAAACTATGGCTGGCAGTGACCTGAACCAACCGGCTCTAGGTAGCAAAAGAGTCGATTAACCTTAAACAGCTTATCAGATCGATTATTATCAGATATCAGAGCGATTTGTTTAGCAAAGGATTGTCTCAAGACTTCATTCTTGAGCTGACAGAGTGAAACCGAGGAAATAATAGCCTGACTCTTTGAAGGTACTCTTTTACGTATGCAGTGTTTGCCGTATGTTCACGTAACGCTATAGAAAGAGGATTACATGATGGATTTCACTGATTAATTATGACTTACCGGTGTCCTCATCGTAGGGTGTCAGTCCCGTATTATATCCGTAACAATGTTTAGAAGCCATGACCTTGAGTATTTAGTCTGGTATTACAAACTGAACTACGCTTTGTCTTAACTCTCTTCCAGGTTTCTTTCTAACTTATCACTTTGTCGCTAGTTCCTTGCCATTGGATCGGATACGACGTTGCTAAAACAAATGTATGGACAATTAAAAAAGCAAACCTCGTCACTGTGTCACCTTGTTTCATCAATTGCTAATGGAACTTTGCTAGCAAGTTCAAATTTGGCGCCGAAGTTGTTCTTGTTTCAGACAAAATATCTGACATGAAAATGAGCTGATGCAAGAACCACTGCTGGCCGAGTACGGACCTCAGAGGGTTGATTACTACGAAAGGGCTAGTCGTTGTTGTTGTCGCTGGGGTGCGATTAACTAAAACGACCCTCACCCCCTAGCGAGTTAACACCTGTTCAGATTTCAGCTAGAAGCGCATCCAGAGACCCAAATAAAATACTTCTTGAGCTCAGCGACACGACTCCGCGGACCGCTTAATGATGTAAAGCCAAAGTTGAGTCAAGTCTGCATTAAACAACAATTCTGAACATTTAATCAGGATGAGAGCCCGTAAGGTCGACAGTTTTAAATTTATGGCCATGCCGTCGATATTATCAGTCCTCTTCAACTGTGGAACGTACTGTAGACTAGACATGCCAAAATCATTAACCTTGGAGTCCAAAGGCATAATATACTATAATTTTTTTTTAACGTTAGTTATCATTCCTATAGTAGGGTCATTTTATGATGGTGATATCTGCATGATTAAAGATTGATTGCTGAGTAGAGATGTTTTGAATTAATTGATGAGATTCTATCAACTCAGTACAACAATCAATAGATCTTATTTAGAAATGTACCTCCGCTTTTCTGGAGAGCGCACTGTAAAACATCTTCCCAGCTTTTCATGGGATAAACTATATGATATCCGTGACTCTAAAATCTTCGTTGATTTCAAGATCAGATAACACATGTTGGTAGTGCCTGAACGTACGTGGTAGAAGAAGACAACGATAATGAACAGCAGGAACTTACGAGGGTGTAGAACCAGCCTCGACGTACGATTGCCATTGCGTGATTCATTTCTACTGTAAATACATGGTTTCATTTATTATAAAAGCAGGCGATCTTATGCTAAACTTTGCACATTTATTAGCGTCTTCCATAACTGCTCGAGGGCTTCGATTTCTCTTATTATCCTTGAAGAAGGGCATTATATTTTTGTTTAGATATGCCATATTTTTCTTTATGTTGGAGAAATGCCACAGGGTATTGCTTTGGGGAAACAACTTATCGTATTTTGGAATACAACCAATCGGCAGTGCATAAATAAGGGCGAGCAAATCCTTGCACCTGGTCTTCACTTAACCTATTCGATACGTGGGCTACCAGGCCCAATCGGCAAATCTGGCTTGAAATGCATTCCTCATTAAGGGAACTGTGAGCCACATCACACGTTCGTCATCTGAGTGTTTTCTTCTAGAGTACCCTGGATTAATCTTCCTGATTGGAGCGGCGTACAGTATACCTTAAGCGATTCCAAGAAGCTACTAGGAGATATGAAGGCAGAGCATTTTCATATCGAATGTTTATTTTGAGAAAGGCTTTATCGTGCCTTTGAGCGAGTTCACTAGACGGGCGGCTTCCCATGGGATTATGCCGTACCCGTTTCAACCAGTCTCTAAAGCGACCACCGCGGCAGACTTGCAAGAGACACTTAGTTAAACTTACTTCAAAATGGAATATAACACCAGTCATAAAATACGCCTTATTATAGCTACTTTTATATCATGCAAAAACATTTTTTTTGTGTATAATTTTCGTTTCTTTACTCTGAACGTATTTAGATTGTCATGGGCTCAATGTTCATCTGTGATGCTTAATTCGCGTTTTTTTGTGATTAATTAGTATCGTTCACAAAACAGAGCCCCAACATTGAGAATCAAAAGGTTCGAGCTTCTGCTGCTAGACATACTTAAAGCTAGATTTTTAAAAAAAGGTCCCATGTTTTTCGTAGTAACAAACAGATTGCACCTATATATACAATCGCACACTAACTAGGTTGGGTTGCTATACACCCCTTCCCCTTGTATATACGTCCACGCACCTTGGAATGGGTATCCTGCAAACAACGGCCGGATCGTGGATAGTGCACTTGATACGGACATGTGAGTCGTAGCTTTGTGAGTAGCAGGAGATGGTGCTCCATGACCAATGGACGGAGGCCACGATGGTGGAGATGAAGCGGGCTCCAACGGGCCAGTCATCGCCTGCCACGAGTTCATTCCACCTCCCATTCCAGTCATACCATCACCCGATGACATCCTTGCTATGCCTAGTCTTCTGCCGCTTTCACCTAAACGGTCCCAAATAGCCCCACTATTCCAAGATCTAGTACACAGAAAGCGCCCCGTCCTTTGACCTGTAACCGTCCTTCGGGCACGCGCACAAAAGCAACTTGTCACTGCATGTCTCGTCACTGCATTGCACGCCTTTGTCGATATATTACCTTCCACTCATCTGAGGTAGACTAGTTAGATCGTGGGGTTCCGTCAGGAGTTCGAAACCTGGAGAGGAGACGATTCCTCACGGAGTAGTAAGTTTCAGCCGACGTCCGGGTTTCACAAATGCAACACAGCAGGCGAACTCGGTATTCTTGTAGTAGTACTACTTGTAGTAGTCTCGGGTAGTTGTAGTACAAGTAACGTAAGTTTACGTACCCACGAAACTGTAGCTGTGGCAGGACTGCCGCTACAATTGACCGTGGGACTGACCTCGGTCAGAAGTTTCTTCACGAGCTGTGTTTAATCGTGTACAGTCGAACTCACGGACAAGTTAGTACTTGTAACTGTCGATGACTTATGGATGAGGCACCATTTCTTCTGTCACGAGAGTAACCCCAACGATGACAACAAACGAATACACACTCACACAGCTTGCATTAATTCGATTATGACAATAACAAAACACGCACTTGGGCTCCTCACAGACACGGAATGGGATGGTTGTTCTCCAAGCGTTTGAAGCGTATTTTTGCGGTCGCTGAAGCTTACTTTGTTCACGCTATTTTCGGTCACTTAACAGTTTTGCTTCAGCTTGGCCAAGTAGCTACGGCAGTCTGTTACACAGCTACGCTATCTGGACCGCTCAACTAGTGGGTGGCTCGTTCTCCATCCAAAATTCCTGCTGTTTTAGGGCGTTGTTGGGCCCGATGCTGGCTGCTGCCTGATCCCACTACTGCTGCTAGTATTTGATGCCCGCAACAAACGAACTCGTAGTCAAGCGAAACCCCGACGGCCCACAAATGATTCGCGGGTCCAGTGGCTCAGCTAGTGCCCGCCCAAAAGTGCCCGCTACGCTGACTATTAAGGCGGAGCCTGGGAGGAGCTTTGGTCCGAAATCCCGCCCTCCATCGAATCGACAGTAGACTACTAGCGTAGACAGGGCTCGCGCGCGCTGCAATGTCTGCGCATGAATGGCGCAGTGCCAGCAGAAGAAGCAACGGCAATGGTTGCGGCGTCAACGGACCCGGCGTGCGTCGGGAACTGTTGCGGTCTGCACTGTCTGGCCAGTCGTCGTTACTGCAACTTCGGGTAGCAGCAGCAGCAGCGGCGGTGGCGGCAGCTGGTGCTGCTGCGGGGTGGAAAGGCTGATAAGATTCCGAAGGAAGAGCTGCCATTGCTTGGTCGTCAGCCGGCCTCTGGCTGACAGATGATACCGACTGGCGCTGTATTCGATATCAACGGCAGCGCGTCTGGTTACTGCAACAATACGGTACTATAGCTATGGTTGTAGTACCTCATCTTGCTGCTACAATTGGTGGCTGGCATGGCAATAGCAGACCAGCTTGTTGAAACCTGTTAGCTATACAGCAGGCCAGCGACGTTGGTAAGCGCGACCGCCGCGATGACGCTGGTGGCAGCGACAAGCGCAGTGGCTTGAACGGCCTCCCAGCAAAGCAGTACCGTTGCTGTATTGATTGATACTGACGGACTTTGTGTGGAAATGGTCGGATGGTCAGGCACGAGCCGCGTTGGCCGCTCTATAGTTTAATAGTACAGTTGGAGGTATGATACGTTGCATATTGCCAAAGCAACAAGATCAGCGACGACAGGAGGAAGGCCTCAGTTGCAAATGATCTTCTACTATATATGTAATAGCGCTAACGCTACCGAAAGCCAGCAATAGGCTGCGGGTCGCTACTGGTTCGCATTTTTGCTTACTGATGCCTTTGGTGCTGACTCACTCGATACTTCAATGGACTAGTTTCTTTTCCTTTCTCGTGTGCGTTCTACGCGAGCGAGTGCCTACCATCGTTATGACGTCTTTGCTTACCGCGCCGTTGTCGACTGTCGGCAGCGTCGAGTGCCTGGCAGAGGGGTGGTTCAGCGTCCGATCGTTTCTTTGCACCCAGCGAATGGTGGTATTCCCGTGCGCTGTTAAAAATTTTGTTCGTTGCCATCTTCCGGTTGTTGCACGAGCATTTGGTCGTCATCGCCTTCAAATCGACTGCTTGCCTTCACCAGTGGTTAGCGTAACAATTTTGCTCGGCAACGATCGCCATGACCGTCACTATCGATGGCAGTGATATGCGTCGCGAAGATCACACATTACTGTTGCACCGGGATGGGTACACTGCAGCACCTGCTAGTCCTGCTAGCACCGCCGCTGCCGCAATGGCGCAACTAGAAAACGTCGGTCGCGCGATCATCATTGCGGTAAGCGAAGTAGAGCGTCACTCAGATCATAGATCACTGCGGCCTCATTGCGCGCATCTGCCAGACGAAACTGGTCGATAGATAGCAGGTGCAGCATTCTTTGACAAGCGGCAACAACGCTGTTGACCAGCACTTGCCATTTGTTTTAAGCGAGCAAATCAGGACCCACTATTGTACCTACAGCTGAACTTTTGCCACTGTCCTATTAGATTTCGAACAACTGTAACTGCTAGTATGTATTTGTGGGATATAACCGGTTACCGCAATATATCCCCTATAGGTGACTCACCGGGGCATTTATGAAGAAAGTGTACAATTATACACGCCGTATGCTTACACACACCGAAACGTACGAGCGATTTACGAAAGCTTATTCGTGGTTCTATAACGAAACCTCTTGATACTCACATCGATTTTCTGTGGCCTTCCTGTCATAAATACTAAACGTTTATGGAGAACAAACTGGCAATAAGTGCTATACAACGCTCCGTTCGGACAGAATAACACACATCTATATATACATATAAAAGACGTTGTAATTATAAGAATGTGAAATAAAGCGCAAATTTTCTATTCGTTATTTCAATAGTCATGAAGAGATTTTTAAGAAGACACTGTCGGTCACATCGTTTGTGATTATTACCTAAATACTAAACGTACACGTCTTCTGTAACTGCAAATTGTCACGATGATTTCCGTCGTCTACGATCGTCACGATATTGCTAACGATTATCACGAAAGTGCTACGTGATCTTACCGCTAAACTGACTCTAAATTGCCAAAGATCTTCTTTATCGCCTGTTAGCATCAGCGTTATTTGCCATCTAGTCTTCCATCTGTTGGATCGTTGAGAAAACATACCGTAATGGACAGCTAGAATGAGACAAGTTGTCATCGTGTTAAATCCAAGGGACATTTGTTAGCCATACGAATGCTCTTTCCAGTTCCTACATAAACTAGTCCTTAATTATAGATGGCATTATATTGGTAATAGACAATGGTATAATTTCATCTTATTCGACTATCTCTGTTCGATATTTTACATATACGCTTATTGAACACGGAACAGAGCTTAGCAGAAGGCCATTTCTAAATACTCCACGTGAAGTATCCTCGCACAGCGTTCATCCTCATTTAGGCATCGCTTAATCTGGAAAGTGCCTTAAAGATCAATCTCTGGGGCACTCTTCGTTGAAAATCGGTTGGTAGTCAATTGTCTGAATCAAAATTCAACGACTGCTATTGTTGATCTTCCAAAGACGTATATCACAGTGGGGCTCGTTGTAGAAATCACGCATCGATCGCTACACAATACGTTAATATGACGTTTTCGACGCCGAATGAATGTGCGATAGCAGCACACGAAGGATGCATGACTGCCGTTCACGATGCACCCCTTCGCCTGCACCCCCAGTCATCCTGATCGCATTTCACGCCCTACAAGAGCCAGCGCTCTCGGTCGCCGGAAGCAGGCCAAACAGATTAAGGCTGTTGCGGGTCCTTTTCATCCAATCCGGAGGCCCTATTCGGTTCGGGAAGGCAGCGAAGCCTAAGGGGTGGGAAATATGCGGTCTAATCTTTGCTTGTGTAGTAGTAGCAGTGGCAGTAGCAGCAGCAGCAGCTTCGTAAGTCCCATATTTAACCTAGCTTTCTGGATCCAGCCAGGATGTTTCCAGGAGCCCAGCAGGGGCGAAGATAAATCACGTTATACGGGTAAGCAAATGAATGCTCCGTTTAATGTCGCCTGCTCTAAAACGAATATTCAAGGATCCTTAATCTGCCTATTTAAATTGACACCAACATTTTGATAGACTACAGTAGGTTTATTTCAAATGACGTCCAGCATTTCACTCTAAGCGATATTGTCATACTGTTTTTACATATTCTACATGTACAGAATATTTGCCGACTCGGAAGCTGCATAGACGGCGATAGCCTTAGTTGCAGTGATTTATATTTGGAGTTTCTCTGGGCTAGAAAGGAATCACAACTGAGAGAGCGGAGAGTGTGAGTTTTAGTCATCTCTAATAAATAACTTTATTAAATATTTTATTAAGTAAAAATATCATACTAGATAAAAAATAAATAAATAAATAAATAAGATGCCGTAATTCGAAATTTATAAACTTGTATATCACATCGAATAGCTCAGGCGTTCGACGCTTGCTGAACTTCCCCCGCAATAGCGGCGCACTCCTGAACGTTCCGTGCATTTGAAATGTCAGCTATATTCACGCGCCGATCAAAATATGACTCAGGAGTATGTGCTTTCTCCATTGATAATTTGCCTAGCGTCAGTTTCGAAAGCTAGATAAAGCTTGAAAACAAAGTAAAAAGTAACTTTCTCTAAAGTTTGCGTAGGCTTTGGTTTTTCGTATCCGTGAAATGGAGGTGAATCCCCTTTCTCGGGTGGTTTCATCCACCGTAAGAGTAATTCGCCCTGGTGGCAATTCGGTCTCTATTTCCAGTGAAGAACGACAGCGCATTGAGTAACGAGGACCATCTTCAATAGACATCGAATACCTTCTTTATTTTCATTAGAATGACAGCTCTGTCTTTCGGGATCATTCTATCAAGAGTCGTGTGCTTCTTCGCCACCTACAGTCTAGTTCCGGCTGACGAAAACTGTAAAAGAATTAAAAAAAAAGATGCACGAGAAGGGCGACGGCTACCACTCCTTGACCTCCAAGGAACATCTTTGTTCAGAGAAGACATGGCAGTAGTTCAAATTCGGCTCATCTCAACAAAGCAAAAAGAAGCGTTAACGCAGGCCATCGTAAATCACAATGGATACGGCGAGAAGGCCCGGTAGCAACAATGATATCAGTCATGTAACCTGGCAGCGTGAACATAAGTTTACTGGAAAGCATCACTTCCATTGGCCAGTAATATTCATTGCCGGATCTGTTATACTGCCGCGGGGTATAACGATACCTTCGGTGGGGCTGACGAGATCCCTGAAATCTAAGAAGTCATAAAATCGACAAGCTGAGTGGGGCTAGTGGTGGCTCAACGGGAGTTGTGTAACTCCGTCGTAATAAGATATCACCGAGCAAGCAAGACGCGGCATTCGGGACGAAGATAGCTCCACCATCAAATGACAACGCCAGCAGCGACAGTGACAAGAGGAAATAGCACCCAGAACTCGATGTACAGATTTAACTTTGGATTAACGTGTGAAATCACAAATCGACTGATGGGGATCTCCGGCAATGCCGCTTCGGGATGAACTGCGGGGATAGTCGCTGGTCCGGATAGCGGACAAGGGGCGCCGGTGGGCAATTCTCGCCCGTTGCTTCAGGGAGTCTCCGCCACCGCAATGCCTGGAATTACGAACTGTCCCGGACGCTAAACCATAACAGGAAATTTGAAGTCCAATAATAGAGGAGGTTTAATAAACGACAAGCGATTAAAGTTACTGCATCAACATCACACAGGCTTTGTATGATCGAAAACACTCTTGGTAGCCGTCGAAAGCTCTTGGATTTTTGGTG